AGAGAGAGAGAGAGAGAGAGAGAGAGAGAGAGAGAGAGAGAGAGAGAGAGAGAGAGAGAGTTTCATAAAGTCCCCTAATAGTCGTATCACACTAGCGACTAGCGGCTGCGATTATGTCTTTTGACCAATCAGAAAGAAGCTGCTACGTATTACCGCTTTTCTCATTGGTCAAGAGACATAATTACAACCGTAGCCGCAAGTTGCTAGTGTGATACGGCTATAACGTCTACACATTTTCCAATTATTTCCTATCGTCTGCGATTGAATTTATTATTGAGCTTGCTCTATTGTTATTTATCAAGTATTGCTTTAAAAATAATTAAAATATTATAATAAGTTTAATTAAATTCAATACAATATACTGTAATTATACATATAATATAAAAATATTGTCGATAAAAAACGTGATAAAAGATAATTAAGAACAAGCTAAAATTTAAAACAGTAAATTGTTGGTGCCTTAAAATGACTGAGTGTAATTTTCCACAATTGAAAAATGATCGAATACTTAGAGCAGCACGGGGAGAGCCGGTTGATAGGGTACCAGTTTGGGTCATGAGGCAAGCTGGAAGATACCTCCCGGAATTTCAGGAAATTAGAGCCAAAAATGATTTTTTCACTGTTTGCCAAACTCCAGTATTAGCATGTCAGGTGACTTTGCAGCCAATAGAGCGTTTTGATCTGGATGCTAGTATTATCTTCTCAGATATCCTGGTAATCCCTCAAGCAATGGGCTTGAAGGTTGAGATGGTAGCAGGTGTAGTGAGTATTTTCTTTTAATCATGTAGATATTCAAATCAATCAGACAATATTTATTATCATCTATTCTCTATAAATAAGAAATATCTATTAGGGTCCAGTCTTGCCTCAGCCTTTAGCCAATCCAAGTGATTTAGCAAGACTTGTGCGACCAAATGTAGAAGAAGCTTTAAAATATGTTGGAGATGCTATAACATTGACTAGACATAAACTGAATGGAAGAGTACCATTAATAGGATTCAGTGGAGCACCTGTAAGTCTCTTTGTATCATTACATAATGTTATGGAACTTATGTGTTAATTTATTCTAGTGGACTCTGATGGGTTATATGATTCAAGGAGGTGGTAGTTCTACAATGGCAAAGGCAAGATCATGGTTGTACAAGTATCCAGAAGAATCTCATAAATTACTGCAGATGGTTACAGATATAATTGTAGATTATTTAGTAATGCAAGTGAAGGCTGGTGCTCAGGTATAATTAGAAATATATCTCTTAATAAGATTATTAAAGTATTTTTTGTGATAAGAAAAAATTGTCTTTACAATTGCACATATTAAAGTAGAAGAGAGGCAATAACAATATATTATATTTTCAAGTTACTTCAAGTATTTGAAAGTAATGGAGATTACCTGGATGATGCTTTGTTTATAAATTATTCTTTTAAATATCTCAAGCAAATTAGTAAATGTGTACGAGAGCAGTTAAGAGCAGCAAATATTCCAGAAGTACCTATGGTAAAGTATTCGTCTTATTTATAAGTAACAAGTTATCTACAAGTCAAGTGAAGTTATTGAATATATTGTGCATCTGTTTTTAGATTGCTTTCCCAAAAGGTGCGACCATGAAGTCTTTAGAAATGCTTGCAAAGGATCAAAGTTATGAAGTTATAGGTTTAGATTGGACCGTGGATCCTGCAGAAGCCAGAGAACGTCTTGGACCTAATGTCACGTTACAGGGTAATATGGATCCTTGTGCAATGTACTCCACACAGGTAAATTACACCTCTAGAAAATGCAAAAATATTTACAGATTATCACATATATTAAATATACGCATTATTACATTTAGGATGAAGTTGTTGATCGTGCGCAAAAAATGGTGACGAACTTCAGTAAAAATCGATATATTGCCAATTTGGGACATGGTATCTTGCCAGACACTCCCATTCCATCCATGGAAGCTTTTATTAAAGGTGTGCATTCTGTGTAAGCATATATTTTAATCATAAATATGCACACATTATAAATTGTTTTACATTTTTGTTAACATTTATTGGGATTTTATAATATTTCCAATGTTAAAAGTATCTTTTGGATATTATTTTTTAATAAAGGGAAATCTTGACTTGTTCGTTCCATTACATGTTTCAAATAATCATGAAGGATTTGTTCATTTTGGAATTCTTCACTCAATGCTGCTTCATTTTTAAACAGCATTTTGTATCGGCCGTTTTTAATATCTTGGAACATTTTAACTTTTCGTTGTTTAAAGACCAGTGATTGTAAATTCTGTGGGAAACCAAAAGTTTTACGGTAAATAATAATTCTATATTATGTGAAATACTGAGGAAATTAATAATAATTTTATGTAACATACATGATATTTAATAGCTTCCGTTTGTATAATTTCCTGATCTACATTCGGGACAACGTTTTCTATCGTTTTGAACGTTACACGTGCTTCGTTACACTTTTCTATTACATCTTTTATTTGATCGTCTAACTCTTGTATTCTGCTTTCAATTTTTTTGGTATCCTGCAATAAACAGTTGATTACAGAACGTTACATTGAAGAACAAAAATTTATTTCCAATTTGATGCAAATTGAAATGGTTTACCTTAATGATTTGCTTAATCTTTAACTTTTGATCAGCCAGACGTTTATGAAATATAACTTTCTGATTGTGTTGACCTTTCGGATCTTTTTTAAATTTACCCATAACTTTGTCTAACATAACATCCCTGCGTGCAACACAAAACTCCATGTCATGTATCAATTTTTCTTGCGCTCTACGCAAATGCGATAGACGCATTTCCATTTTGTGAATTTCACTTTTCATTACTGCGATATCTCCACCGCTACTGCGTTCGTCCCTCAAGCTTTTTATAGTTTCTTGCATTAGTTTCATCTAAAAAGTAATTTAAGGTAATTAATCTCCTAAGTTTGTAATAAGCGTCTTTATCATGTTATCATGTGAGGAAGATATATCCATTTTATTTGATTACATAATATTTATATATATATATATATATATATATATATATTTAAAATTATATACTTTCTTCTCCCATGATAAACTTTCCTGTTGCATTGTATCTAAATTGCTCTTCAAGGATGCTTTTTCCTCATACAACTGCTTCAGATCACTTTGCAACTTTATCAAATTCAATTCCGTATCTTTGAGAGATTGTATACTCTCGTTTTTGGTAATAAAATTCTTATCTTCTAATTCCTCTTTCAGACCTTTCTGAATGACTAACTGTGCATTCATCTGTACTAATCTTTGTTGCAACAGATTTAATATTTTCTCCATATTAGATTCTTCTTTAGTGAGCATTTCTAGAGCATGTTCTATCTTCAGATTCTTCTGTTCCATTATCATTATTTCTTTGTTAAGAAGATTGAGTTCCTGCAGTTGTAAATCTCTCTGCTGACTCAATGTAATCATGTGTCCTTCCTGACGAACCCAGTATTGTTGTGCTTTCTGATTATTCCATTGCACCTCCTCAATATTCTTTTCCAAGCTAGTCATCTTTATATCAAGAGGACTAATTTCTTCGCCGCCCGTATGCAATAACACCTATAAAAAGGGGACTAAATAAAATATAGCTTCTATATTATTTTCCTTTTTTATTAAAATTCTCATATGTCATATACCTCTTCAATAATTTTATTCAAAGTAACAATTTTCACTTGCTTTCTTTCAAATATTATGTCGTGTTTCTTGATTTCTTTCTGTATCTCATCTATCTCTTTGCTTCTTGTGGTATTATTTAGCAAAAGTTCTTCAAATTCCAACTTTTCCTGAGGAATGGCCGAATTAAGTTGCTCCAATTCCAACAATTTCTTACCATATGAATTTTCGGTTTCCACAAGCAATAATTCTTGTTCTTGCGTTGACTTTTTAGAATCTAATAATAATTTATTCAAATAGCGCGCCGTTTTATCATGTGCTACTTTTTCCTCCAGCTTGCTGTATATTACATTCTCTAATTCGTTGTACTTATTCAAGAATTTAGTCAATTCTTTATCAATTTCCTCCTCTTCATGTAATAAACATTGCCATTCCTGTAATATAAAGTTGGCATTGTATCTGGATGAGTAACTTAATAGAGAACAAGAAAGTTCTACAGATATGCACTATACAAAATTGCAAAATTATTGTACATACGCCATTAATTAAATCATATTCATATTGTTCCTGTTCGCTAAATTTTGCTAACTTTACTAATTCAGATTGCAGATTGTCAAGTTTATCATTTTCCATCGTTGCCTGTTTTGAATTAGTCTGTATATTGTCCTCTAATCGTATATGTAACGACGTCAAAGTTTCGTTATTCTCTGCTTCGTTAGAAGTGTCTTTCTTTAATTTCTCTATTTCCGCACGTAACGTGTTGAAAGAGTCGCATATTTTCCTGGAAAGACTAGACTACTTTAGTTTTAGAAAATTAACTAGCCAAATTTTATATTGAACTAGTTAACTTTTATTCAAATTTGATTTTATCTTTTATATGATATTCTTTTATCATGTCCTTTTGTAATTTTATTCATTTTGATTTTTAAAGATTACATACTACATACTCGCGTTCTGTGTTCAATTGTTCATAAACTTTGTTTCTCTTAGTGATATTCAGTACTACAGAATTCCACGCACTGCATAAATTTGCATGTTGCTTGTGCAATGCTTCCAGGTCAGTGTTAACGTCGGCGATCGTCTGATTTATCTCAATTTTCTCTTTATTTTTCAACTGTAACTGCATGTCCAAATTAGCTATCTCAGTTTTGATTCTCCATACTTCTTCCATAAGTTTAAATATTATACAGTCTTTTTGCTGTTTCTGAGCAATTAATTCTTGCTGAATTATTCTGTCCTTCTTTGATACTTGTTTGGAAATAGCCAAACTGTTTTCCAATTCAGTCTGCCATTCTGCGAATCTTGCTTGCAGAGCTGTAAATTGTTCTAATTCATAAGTAAAACTCTCTTCTTTCTTTTTCTCATCGAGCAATTTAGCATGAGCAGCTTTATGAAAGTTCTTTGCATCTTTTACATGTGTATCTTTCTCTTCACGCAGTGAAATCACATTTCCTATCATGCTTTGATATTTCTCAATTGACATTTGCTGTTTTGCTATTTCTTGTTGAGCGTAATATAACTGTAAGCCTGCAGCCTCCCGTTCTTTCTCAATAGATTTTATCTGAGCTTCCTAGAATATTTGATATATAAAAAATATAGTGATTGTATTTCACGTGCTGTTACATATTGTAAATTTAGTTATAAGTGAAAAGGATCATTGTAAGTTACACTTACAAGTTCTAATATTTCATCGCTCAACTTTTTATCAACACGGGCAAGATGTTCTCGTAGAGTATACTGGAATTTCTTCATCAAGGAGTCATCCGGATTTAGAACATTCGGCATCTGCGTAGGCTTCGTAGGTTCTACCCATAATTTTTTTGTGAGCTTAGTTTCTGATTGCTCCGTATCAGCGTTAAACAAGTCGTCGCGAGATAAACTTAAGTCGTTTGCGATTGACATATTCATCGTGAAGTACAATATTTATGACGTGCTAAATTAAAAAAAAATTGTCGGCGATACACGATCTTTCGCAATAATTGCAGTTCTCGTAAAAAAAACAATTCTCTATCTTGAAATAAATGCGATTTACAACAAATTTCTCTGCATCACACTGTTGTTGATTCAAACTAAATCCGTATCTATGGAAGTCACATAATGGTTTTCCGCGACACCGCTAGATGGCGCCAGGTGACCCTCTAACCTCTCGAAATATCATTTTTATTGCACAAATATACAGAGAGAAAGCTACTTGGAACGAACAACTCGCTAACGAGTGCAGTAAAAAAGAACAAACCTAAGGTGAGAGAAACTTCTTTTGAGCACATTTCGTTTGTTGGTAGATCTATTATCGTCGCAGTTGTCACCGTCACGTCTGACGCATCTCATTCCGCTACTGGTTTGTTATGACAGTTTGCACGTCATGCTGTGTCGTGTTAGAGTTCGATAGACGAGCTTGTTAGGGATAAAAGTAGACACGATTGTGATCTCGAGATTATAAAGCTCGCATAGAATGACGGCACGTTACGTTGATACACGTTGAGATTTACGAAGCGACGCGCAGCATGCTCGCCGAGGATGAAATTATGGAGCAGAATTGCCCGGAGAAGAAGACCATTCGATTCCGCAATACTGGCAAGTCCAAAAGGCACGTCTCACCTAATAATAAACGAGTAGAGAATGTCGAATCTCCGCACTACAGGCAACAGTTCTCGGAGACGCAAGATTTGGACAAGAAACAAGGTACTGGTACTTGTTGTAAAGAGTGTTTTGTCGTAATTTAAATTTTTATTGCAAATAATTATTAAAATAAATAGTGATTGATTTTACATAGTTTAACGTCGAATATACCTTACTTTTCTAGGTGTATCATTGATGCAATTTTTGAGGACAGAATTAACAAGAGGTTATCAGTTGGAACACGATGAGGAGAGATTCTCTGCCAGAAGGGAGAAGATTTATTCATTCTTACAAATACCTAATGAAGTGGAAAAGTTTATGGTTTATGGTTTTCTTCAGGTATAGATAAGTATTAATATTATTGTAAGATCATATCATAAGAACAAAATAGCATATGATAATTGATGTATTTCTAAAGTACTTGAGAGAACTAATTATTTTGTATTATTGTTATTTCCATAGTGTGCAGATTCCTTTCTCTTTGTGTATACATTTTTACCATTGAGATTTGCAATGGCTCTATGGGCAGTGATTACACGGCCTTTGCGACATTGTTTGAGGTATGTAAAATATCTATTTGTCACAGGATATTCCATTTCTCAGATATTCTGTGTATTAAAGTATTTCTCTTGATCTGTTTCATATGTAGAAGTGGAAAGTTTCGTGCAAAAAACACAGGAAAGTATTTAAGCCCAGCAGAAGTGTGTGATTTGCTAAAAGGAGCTGTAGTAGTGGGTTGTTGGGCAGCCACCTGGAAAGTAGACACCTCTATGATGTATCATTTAGTTAAGAGTCAATCGGTTATAAAATTGTATATATTCTACAACATGTTAGAAGTGGGAGATCGTCTTTTCAGTGCTTTTGGTCAAGATATTATAGATGCTCTGCTTTGGACTGCCACAGAACCGCGCTCGCGTTCATCCCGTACGCAACATTTGGGTACACTGCCGCATTTGCTATTTGTTGTCGTCTATGTGTGTATCCTTTGAATAATTCACAGAACAATGTATGTAATTTGACTTGGAATTGGTTCAGACAATGATACATCTGTACACGCCTTAACTTCGTTCCTATAAAGTGTTGCATAGTATACTGGTATTATTTCAAGCTACAACGTTGAATGTAGCAATTAACAGCAGTAACAAGGCTCTCCTCACGATCATGATGTCTAACAATGTGAGTGAATTACGCAAAGAAATTATTTCTTTTACAGAATATCTCACGTATATTATCGCTTCCAGTTTGTAGAACTGAAGGGTTCAGTTTTCAAGAAATTCGACAAGAACAACTTGTTCCAATTATCTTGTTCAGATGTCAGGGAGAGGTTTCACTTGACCATGCTGCTGCTTGCAGTGAGTTTGCAAACGATGAAGGAGTACGCATGGCACAGCGATCGTCTTGCTGTTCTGCTGCCCGATTGCGCGTTGGTGTTATTCGCTGAAGTTCTCGTTGATTGGGTGGGTATCACCACATGAAATATATATGGCATAGAATAATATATATGACATGAATAATATATATGACATAGAATATCGATAAGAGCTTTATTTATTCCTTATTACCATGCTAATAGCATTGTATTTCTGTAAAGGTGAAACACGCGTTCATCACACGTTTCAACGAGTTGCGCTTCACTGTCTACCGAGACTACACGGTGAGTCTTGCGTATGATATGGCGCAAACTCGCAAAGAGACCGCATTCTCGGATCCTTCGGACTTGGTCGCACGACGAATGGGCTTCATACCTCTTCCGTTGGGTGTGGCTATGGCACGCGTCCTATGCACAACTGTGACACCATCCGCGAGACCAGCAAACCTGATACTTCTGCTGTTGGCTTATTTTATACTGGTAGCTCTTCGCATATTGAACAGTATAATTATCCTTGGTAGAGCGTGCGACTTGATGTCGTCGCGCACGCATGCCGAGAAGGGGGACGCGGATTCGAAACCTCCGCAATTAACGAAACGTGCTAACAGCGTCGACATGAAGAAACCGAGTCTTGGCACGGCGATCTTCTCGAACAGTGCTGTCAGCCTGAACAACGTCTGCTTGAACGAGGCGTTTCTCCAGGAAGATGAGGCAACGACGGCAGCACAGAAAACTGAGAAGCTCGCGTGTAATGTGAACGACCTTACCGTGACAAAAACTGTGCTAAGGACAGGAAGCGAGCCCCTCCTCCCACAATGACGAAACTTAATAGTACAATTGAAACGTAACAGTTTTCTATTTATGAATGTACATATTTTTTCTGTTGTACATATACACATGTGCGTATCGACGTTATCTTACAATAATACTTACCAATAATGTTTCTATGTACATGTGTATATAAAGGGTTAATAAATTTGGTTACTATTTATTTGTATATTTCGTCGCCGACGAATATTCGTGTCTCTATTTACTGTTGTTATTGTTTGATTGCAGTGCATGCAAGACGTGTCGAAAGCTGCGGAAAGAAAAGATTCCTCCCCGTTCCTAACTTATCGACAAACAAGCGGTAGACCCGTTATATGTAGAGGGTCGATTCGAGTCTAGAGTGGCGATTCGAGCGCCACGACACGTGAGCAGTGACAACTACCGGCGCGATGGCGCGCGCGTAACCCACGTCTCCCTCTCGTGCTCTACCCCACCTCGTCGCGCGCTCTCTCTCTTTCTCACTCGCTCATCCTGTCCTTTTCTCGTAATACTCGGTTCCGTTCGCCGTCTCGCTCGCGACCGACAAGCGCGGGACGTCACGGAGGCGGTGGAGGACGTCGGTCCTCCGCTCTTCGGGAGCGCGAATCACGCGAATCCGCGATAGTGACGACCGACAACGTCCTCGTCCAGAGCCCCGGCCGCGTAGCTGCTCCGCCGCGACGCATGGGTCGTTCTTCTCGCACTACACGACGCGTACCGGTTAAAGCGAGTTGAATGGACGAGGGTACCAAGTACAGAGTGCCGATCGGCGACGCCTGCGTGTCTATGCGCGTGTGCTTCGACTCGCTGTGCTTCCCGCAGAAGCGGCTCGACGACGAGGAGGACGCCGCGGACGCCACGACCTCGTCGCCGTCGCCGCAGCTGCCGACGACCGTCGTCGCGGCCGTCGCTGCCGTCACCACCGCTGTCAGCAGCATAGCTAGCACCACTGTGCCGCAAGTCACCGTGCCGCACGTCGGCGTTGGTATCCCGCTGGCCAGCATGAGCACCCTCAGGGAACTGCAAGAGCTGCTGCGTGTTAAGGAAGAGCGAATCGCCGATCTCGAGACGGCGCTATGTCGTCGCGACGCCGAGATCCAGGAGCTGCGGAGCCACCTGGATAAATTCCTCAGCGTCCTGCCGTTCAAGTCGCCGTTGACGCCGACGAAGCCGCGGCCGCGCAAGCAACGTGCCCAGGGTATATCCGCGGAACCGCCGCTGCAAGAGCTCTCGCCCCTCCGGCTGGTCGACAAGAGCGACAGGTTAGTGTACCTATCTACCCACGCGCATCTGTTTTTCCGCCTTTAACCCAAGTACACGAGTACACGTACGCCTTCTGCACCACGTTCTCTCCACGTCTTCCTTTTCCTCGCCTCGTGGTCGTCTTTTCTCCCGCTCGCCGCACTTCGACAGTTTGCCACATTAAAAAAGATATTTTTAACGCGACGTGACAGTGCCGGCTTGATGCCATGACAATGACACCTCTCTCTCTCTCTCTCTCTCTCTTTCTCTCTTTGTCTATCTATTTGTCTGTCTGTCTCGCATTTGGCACACGCAACTCGGAGCCGCGCGCGACTCGAGAAATTACACGCTCGTCACAGTGGCGAGCGAATTAAAGCCGATGACAAGTGCATCTGCACAAAGAAACGCACTCACCTTCCGCATCGCGCGCGCGATGACCCGTATTTTTAAAATTAGATCTTCGGCGGAGACGCCGCGCAACGAGATTTCGAGGTCGGTGCGTGCAATTTCGGTAATCGCGGCCTCCTCGACGCCGCGCCAAGGTGCGAGAGGGGACGAGCGTTTCGCGCGGGCATGCACTCATTATTTTCACTCGCGCCTCTTTTATTTTCCGCTCTTATCAAGGCGAGCGATCCACGGTCCGATCATCCGTTCTGCGTTTGGTTTTTTGTCCCCTCGCATCTCTATGCGTTTCTTATGTCGACGAAGCCCGTTCGCGATATCGCACGCGCGCGCGTAGACACCGGTTTCCTATGGCCGGAATGACGACGTGTCTGCCATGTGACCAGCCGCGTCGCCGCTGCTCGTTTCCTCGCTCGTTGCACCGCAAAGAGACGCCTTTCTCCTGCGCGAAATTGCGCTTTTGCATTCGCGCTATGCGCCAAAGTAGGTACTTTCGCCACCGGCGGAGATCACTTTCGATTGCAACCTCCTGGACGCCACGCGGATTCACCGAGTCCGGCTTCTCCTCCGCGACTTGTCTCAATCCGAAATCTGGATTCTATATATTAGCCTTGCAAGTTTACGAGTTATAACTCGATTAAAATTCAGTCGATTCTGTACGTTCTGTGAATCTGTACATCATTATCTCAGTTGTTTCTCAATTGTTTATTCCAATAAGCAATGCATTGCTTATATAAAATTTATTCACTTATTCAACTTACAACATCAAATTTTCTTCTTTCGAAAGTCTTTTTATTATTATTTTTTATTGACATTATTATTTATTGGCGTCGTAAATCTCGTCGGGAATTCAGAGCTCTAAAATATACGTAATAAAGATATTACAAGTCACGTCGCCGACTGCTTCCGCCTCCTGCGTCCTGCACTTCGTCCTGGAGTCAGCTGTTGATTGTTCTCTTCGTGATCAAGTGCTCAGTAATGTCGCACAAGAACACGAATCGGTCGGGAAAGCAACGTTAATTAATGACCTTACGTTGAACAACGACACTCTCGATACGTACCGTGCATGCAACCGTCTTGATTAATTTACAATGAGTAATTTGACGGTCGCGGAATATTCTGGAAGTATTGATCGTGTTTTCTTGACCACCGCGTGTATTCCGCATTTTTTGGCGGGCGACTACCGCTCGCGCCTAACGCAAGGTGACTTTGTTTCCTTGGAAAGAATCAGTTGTTTTGGTGTGCCGCGCGCGGCGTACTTGCTCATACTTTTTTGCGAATTTCTCGCCGGTCAATCGCATTTCGTCGTCTATTAAAATATTTCGTCGCCCTCTCGTCGGCGTCGCGTTAATTAGTACGCGTTCCTCCGTGCGAACCGTGTCTCTTCCATGAGTGTCCTGTGCGACGTGTGAACATAGTCAGCAGGATGCTGAACAGTAGGGTAGCCGGAACGTAGGACGCTGGAATGCAGGCAGCATTTCCAAATATGTGCACGCAGAAAATATTATATTTTCTTTTCATGTATAAATTCTCTTCAATTTTACGATATTTTTAGGCAGAAAAAATGACATTCTTCCTTGGAAAATGTCTTTATTTTTGACATGTCTTAAATGTCTTTATTTTTGACATAATCTTCAAATGAGATTACGTAGCGTTAAAGGAAGATAAATTACTTGCAAGAGTATATTTTATGACTCACGATTTTATGACTGCGAAGAAAAATTTATGTTTTTATTATTCAGAAATAATTTTTATTAATAGAAGGCACAAAAATATTGGATTGAGAATATGATGTTTTTAAATGTGTGTTACACACTCCAGGTTTCTCCTATTCATTTAAGACTAATATATTCAAATAAACAATCATTGTTTCATGTATGAGTAACGATATGTAATTTTTAGAAGAGAGAATTTTAAAGTCATGAATTTCTATAATGTTATAATTTTATTTGAATATTATATTATATTAGTTTATATATTAGTTAATATTATATTAGTTTCATAAGAAGTATAATATCATTATTTTGATAATAATATCTTTTTCCGACATTTAAAAATATCATTCTCAGTCAAACATTTTGTGCTTTCCATTGATGAAAATGATGAAATAATAAAAATACAGGCTTCATTAAATTATATAAAGTACATTCTTGTAAGTTATCTTCGTTATCAACTTATCTTCGTTTAATGTAATCTCGTTTGAAGATTAACATATCAAAAATAAAGATTTCCCAAACAAGAATGTTCTTTTTTTACGCAGACAAATAAAATTTTTAATAGAACATCTCAGTTCCCCTAAAGTATAAATAGCACATATGAAACGAAAGGAAATAAATCAGAACATAGAATATCTCGATCTACTCTTCGATTACAAAATTTCATAGTAATTTTTGCTATAGAATTCTCCCCGCGTGGGATTATTTGTCGCATGGAATATTTCCATTTTTGACGAACGTTATTGACGAACGCATCTGATTTCTCGCGACGTCATTAATTCATATAATTATCAACCGGGCCTTATCGATGCTCTGCCTTATCGAAATTCTTCTCGTTCGGTCTCGGGTATCTCTGGTATGAAAAAGAAAGAAATAAAGAGAGAGAGAGAGAGGGGGGGGAAAGAGATTATTTATAGATATGCGTCTCCGTTTCATCATAACTCAACATCCCGATTTACGAGAGCTGTGGATGTTTCCAGACCATGAATCGAGCGCGTCTGTTTGGTGTGTATCGTAAACGCGAGTAAAGGCCGAAATAAATCGCGCCGCGAGCATACTTTACCGGAACGATCTCGAAAACTGGCGTGGGCGCCACGTGAAGCTGCGTGTATGCTTTCTCAAACGGACAGACAGGCGTGAATGTAATGTTTCAACGAACACGAGCGAGTGGATCGGGAAACGCACGCGTTACGCGGACGGAAACGAGCGATAGTGCGCGACATTAATTGCCTGCTTGTTGACGTTCCGACCGTCTACCGCAAGTCTAGATTTGACCAAGGTTGCTTTTCCGAACCTCAGCAACGAGCCCGCTAATGAGCCGCGAACTGGAGGAAAATGATTATCGCGAATAATGAAAGATTAATTAATGGCGATTGCGTAGCGACAGAAATAGTACAGCCGATCGCGCCTTTCTATCTCCCGGTCTACGTGTCTCATATCACGATATGTCGTTTTTTCTCTAAATAAATAAATTTTCCCGTTGGAATATTCTTAGTGCGCGTGTTCTCATGTGAAATATTCCAGAGTCAAATATTCAGCCAGATACAATGTATTGTGTAAGGGACGTATTTGACTCTGCGAGTATCTGCTTCTTTTTTTTCCCCGTAATCGCTCGTCAATATGTATCGATGTAGTATTCGTGCACAATGCTTAACGTCAGGCCAGGTGTGTACGCGTGGCTTAATGCCCGCACTCGCGTAAGTGCGTGAGGATCGACACGCGCGGATATCGAAGCCGGCGCTAGAGGCTTTACGGATTTGCATTTCGCATTCGCGAAGGCGGTGTCGACAGCAGCGGTAGATCGCCGCACGTAGGTCGTGCTGGGAAAGGAAG